CGGTCGAAGACGGAACTTCTGCGAGGGCGCACGGCGACGATTCAGGGATGGTTTTGCACGAGGACGAGGTCGTGGGAGATGCAGACGAGGAGGTGTTGCTGCGTCTCCCCCGAGCAATCGTACTCGACCTTCATGCGACGGATTGGCACCTGCCCGGCCGGGAGCTGGGACTGCATCTGATCTTCCCATCGAAAGGGCGCCAGTGGTTCTTGGACGGGCGTGGGGAGCATCCAGTTTTGGGCGCGAAGCGGGCGCAGTTCACGATCGCGCCGTCGTTGACCGCGACGGCGCACGCCGCGCAGGGGCGGACGATGGGGGGATGCGATCGCGGACCTTGAAAGAGGGCGCGGCGTGGGTTGGACGTCCAGATACATTGCTATCACGCGGGTGCGAAGACGAGGGGGCCCATTGATATTTCGGCCGTTTGATTGGAGGCCGCTCAACGAAGGAGAGATGGGGAGCACGAAGAAGCCGTTGCAAGTGCTCTCTGGGGAGGGCGTGGAATGGGCGACGTGGGAGGCGGAACTCATGCCTCGAGACCAGCGCGAGCGGCGCCGTCGAAGGTTGTCGGTGGGGGCCTTTTTACGAAGTATGAATTCCAGAGGAAGGATCGGCCAGCGTTTTGCAAATAATGCACGGATGATATGAAAAGCGCGGACGAGACCTGATACAGTACGCGCGAAGGGTGGGCCACCACAGCGGAGGGCGATGCGCCGACGCGGCACGGCGGCGATTGGGGCAGCAGGGAACCAGGCAACGAGTAGGAGATGAAAATGGTTCGGACCACGTGGCGCGCCACGTGTAGCCATGTCAAAGCGAAGCTGAAGTCGCGCAGTGGCAACCCGAGATAGGGCGAAAGCGTCGCCGCAGCGCGATGTTCGAACGACGCGCGTGTCTCCTTTTTTTTCGAAAAGATAGCGGAGCAGTCGGAAATTCGGAAGAAGCACGGCGCAGCGCGGGAAAGACTGCGTCGGAAATGCGCAGAGGCACGGGGCAAGTTGACGCGAGAAGCATCTAATCGCAAGCGGAAGGTCGAAGCGGAAGCGGAGCCGCCGACGCGTCGTGCGCCAGGTTGCGGAGTGTCCTTCTGGGGGGCTGGGCAGTTGAACCACAACCAAGTGGAGGGCCACCGGGCGAAGAAAAGAGCAAAAGTAGCGCGCGGAGGATGTCATCGCACGGGCGTCATTGCGAAGGGAGTGGGCAATGCGGCAAAACGGCTCGAACGAAAATGGACGCGCGGGGCGCGCGATAAGAAGTTCCCGCGGCAACGCCACACAAGCGACAGACAGGAGAGCGAACACTTCTCGAGGAAGAGTAAAGTTGCATGCGCAGATTGCGTGGACATGGGTTTCACGGCGTGTAGCTGGCAAGCGTGCGAGTGCTTCAGCGCTTGTAAGAGCAAGCTCCCGAAATTTCGCTTCTTCGTTGGACCAGGTCCCGAGTGCGCGCGCGAGATGGTGGCCCTGAAGTGCAACTCGTGCACTCCAGACCCAGTGGAGCGTTGGTGGCAGCGCGCGAATGCTCGGGGCCGCGGGAAGGACAGGAGGAGGAGGGGGACGAGGAGGTGGAGGGGGAGGAGGAGGCGGGGGAGGAGGAGGAGGAGGAGGAGGAGGAGGAAAAGGAGGAGGAGGAGGAGGAGGACGACGACGACAGAAAGGAGGAGGAGGAAAAATGATGATCTGGTTTGCGGGCCGAGATGAGGCCCAATACGCAAGGTTGCGTTTAGGATTGGGAGGGCGCGTGCGAGCTGTCAGACCGCGAACTGGGTTGTGGGTCGGATGCCACTCGGATGGTTGATGGCGTTTCGTGCGAGGCCTCTCGGGGGCGTCTTGTAGCCACTTTTGGGGCCTCTTGGGGGCCTTTCGGGGAGCTCGGTGATTTTTCGAGGAATCTCCTGAAGTTCCCTGGGGGCCTCTTGGTGGCTTCTTGTGGCAACCTGGGGGCGTCTTGGCGCGGACGGGAAGGAATTTCCGGTCGGGGTCACGCCTCGAGAACCTTCATTTGGAGCCCGATTAGGGTTTTGTTGAGCCGTCTTGGGGGTTTTGGGGGGCCGTCCTAGGGCCTTCTTCGGCCGTGTTGGCGGTTTCTTTGGCCGTCTCGCAGTTTTGTTGGGCCATGTTGAAGTCCTCATGGGGGGTTCCCGGGATATTTTGGATGTAGCGAAGGCCGCAGAGGCGAATCTGTTATATATATATATATATACATATATATACTTATATATATATACACATACATACATATATGTATATGTATATATACATATACATATACATATATATATATATATACATGCATACATACATACATACATGCATGCATGCATGCATGCATGCATACATACATAAATACATACATACATTCATACATACATACATACATACGTTTTCCCAAAGGGAATGGGACGATGTGTGTGTCTTGGGGTTTTGTTTGGGAGACTGTTGGAGGCTTGTTGGAGCATCTTGGAGGCATCTTGGGCCATTTGGACGCCATCGTGGGCGTCTTGGAACGATGTTTCGGCGATTCGGGACCTTCTTGGACTGTCTTGAGGGTCTCTTGGGAGGACTCCGAGGCTGTCTCGGCGCTCCAAAGGGGGCCCGAGGAGGACTGGATCCCCCCGGATGAGTTCGGGGGGGGGGGGGGGGGCAAATTCTCAGTTCGAGGTCTTTGGGGGGGAATTCACGGGGAGGAAAACCTCACACGCCTGGAGACCCACAACGGATAGGCGGATTTTGACCTGTGCGGGCCTTCCTGGAGGCCCTCTTGGAGGCCCCGTGTGCCGTCTTGGAGACCTCTTGGGGGCCTTTTGGCCCATCTTGAGCCATCTTAGTGCCATCGTGGGCTGTCCTTGTGGGCGCCTCGGAAGCCGTCTACGGGCCTTCTGGGCCAACTTGGAATCCTCTTGGGGTGCTCCAGGGCCGTCTTGGAGGCCATCTTGGCTTGGGCGTCTTG